CTGCTCCTGCCTACAAGTTTCCTTCTCCTGCCATCTCTCTCTTCTCCTGGCTGGTCCCTCCTCTGCAGCCGGTGTGCAAGCGAATAACCCCAAGATGGAGCCACCTGACAAGAGCACAGAAAACTTGGAACCTCTCCCAACTTTGATCTTATTTTACCTAAGCAAGCCATTAGCAGAGTGAGTTTGCAGTAGATCCAGCAGACTAAGCTAGTCCTGCTGGGTATTTTTCTGTATATGATCAAACAGATACGTGCCCCTATTTTTTTACTGATTAATAAAAACATGACTTTGATCTCAGAAGAATCTCTCTCTCAGAGAAGCCAGCACAAAATACAAGCAAGAAATAGCAGTAACGAAATACTAGGCCAGTGACTGAGCATGGGCTGAGGGGCAATTGCTGCTCTAAGAAACCTCCCTGGTGACCTCTGTTGTGACAGGAGCTTCACCTGGTGAGCTCTGCTGGCTGAAACATATCATCGTCACCTGGCAGCTTTCAGCAGAAAGCCCAGCATCATCCTGCCTGTGGAAAAGGTGTAGCTGCTCTGTTAATTAAACGGAAAAAACCAAACCCATAAAAATACTAGCAGAAATACAGCTAGCAAATAGAATGGAGGCTGTCTAGGATGGGCAGAGCGACATGCAAAGCCCCCCAACACTGGGTGTTCCCTCTGAGTGCCCCAAAGGCAGGAGACAAATCCCTTTATTCCCCTGAGGTCTCCTCCAGGCTGGACTCTGCAGCTGGCTTCTCTCCTCCTCCCCCCTCTGTCCCAAACACTCTCCTTGCTCCCTCCCAGTCCCAGTCACCCTCTGGTTAACCTCAAGTCTCAAGGGCTGCGAACACAACCACTTACACAGCCTCCTCTGGAAAATCCTGATAGCAAGGGCCTTGGTCAGAGGTGCAGGTCAAGTCATGTTTGCTTTGACTGGCATAGGAGCTCTTTGCAAATGCAACAGAAATGGCTTGGCCTGCCCTTTGATTCCAACAGTGCAGTATGTGTGGTAGGTGCAGTCCATTGCTGCTCTGAGACCTTCAAAAAAACTTAGCCTGGGAAAAAGGATCAAGGGAAGATCTTCCTTCTCCTCTTGAGCTTTACAGGCAGTCTTGGAAAGTAACATTTTCACTCCTTCTCTTTTTCTTTTGGATGGAAAACAACACATGGTCTCCTGAAGCTTGTGAGTGTTGACGTGACACAGCCTCTGAGACATTACCTCGCATACTTTCATGCCTCAAGACCACAGTGTGCTGCAGTGCAAGGGCATAGTATGGAGCTGGAGAACATCACAGGTCATCTCCCATAAATCACCCACGCCATGTCCCTTGGAAAAGTCAGGGACAGGCTGGGCTATGAACCTACTAGAATTTATATTTCTTTCAGAATATTCTGAGGACAACTTCCAGAACTTGATGTTTTACAGCCTTACTGACAAGGAAAGTAAAAAAGTAAGTTTGGGGTATGGATGCTGCATGTCTATTGCCCAGCGGCCACAAAGCCCTAAGCCTCCTGCTCTGTCACTGAGACAGACATGTAAAATCTCCCAGTTCAATCATCTGCAATAGATAGCTGATACTGTATTTACTTAATAATAAAAAAGTTTTGTGCAAAATCTCCTACAAGCTCTAAAAAGGTAGATTTACAAATGATGCCTGGGTGCCCAAAAGTAAGATTGTATAAAAGTGAATGGTTTTACTCAGCTGATCAATGTGGCCAGAGCCCCTTTGACCAGGGACACCCTGCCAGCCCCTCCTGAGGAGTCACTAACAGTGGACAACCTCTTTCCACCACCCTGGTCAGTGTTATTTGGACAGTAAAGTACTCTGAAGATCAGTAACCCATATTACTGCTGATACTACACAAGCATCTCAGTTTTTGGACTACTTTAGAAGCTAGGCAAGGCTTGGCATATCCTGTGTTTGGACCGAAGATCACCAGGAGATCCCAGGCACAACCTAAGGACAGCTAAATATCCATAAACTAATTTGAGTCCAAAAAGTGGGTGAGGGATGGGGTGGGAACACAAGTTGGTCCATGCTGGTGGGTGCCCCATAGAGGAGGGCAGCATCCCAGGACCCGGGCAAGTCCTTGCTCTCCAACAGCCCAGTTGTCTGCTTCTTTTGTGCCTCATCTCCCATTTGTGACAGGAGAATAACAGCACTTCATGTCTCTCCAGGAGTGGCTACACGCATGAAAAGACTGAGAGCCTCTCACTAGGATGGTGGGTTATCCAAGAAGAAAAGCAAGCCACTTTTAGAGAGACGCTTTTAAATCACTATTTGAACTATTTTCATCTCTATGTTCCCACTCCAGGCGGACCTTACATACTGCAGAAGCTAATCGCCCTTCCTGGTTAATGTATACAGCGGCTCATGCTGGCTTGAAAACATTAAACAACCAGAGCTAAAGATCTCCTACCGACACTTCAGATCTCCAAACAAAAAACCCAGTCTTGCTTCTTTTTTTAAAAAAAAAAAAAAAAGGTACATCCACCATCACTGGAGTTATTTTTGCACCATTTTCATCATTAAACTCTGACTGTCCTCCATGTCACAAGCTATTTTAAAAACAGTTCTTACCGAGCAGAAGCAACAGACAAATGAATGGAGACTCAAGGACTCCTGGTGTGTCCCAGCCTCTGTGAAAGTGCCGTTTTCAGCCTGGCAAAGTTAGCAGGAGAGGGAGTATCTTTGATGGGACTGAACAAGACAGCAAGAAACAGAGAGAAGCTTCCAGGCCAACAAGGATGAAATGGTGAGCCCTGCCATGGGCATCCCACGTGCACCCGCCATCCCTCGCCAAGAGCTGCAGGAACCACCAACCCCCCCAAAATGGAGGGCTGCTGTCTAAAACAACTTGAAACTGGGCTGGTGGGGTGGAAGGGGAAGCACATGCAGGTCTGAGCAATATTTCTTTTCGAAAGAAAGCACATTTTCAAAGCAGCCCATCAAGAGGCCTGACATATTACATGCCAGGTCTCTGGCTAAATACAACTTGCCGAGTTTGAAATTTTCCCTTATTCTGTGCATGTGCTATGATTTCCAGGAAACAAACAAAAAGAAAGAAAACACCCCAGATTTTAAAGAAAATCTGTTTAGGAGCCAAACGCATCTCTGATCCAGTAAAAGATAAGCTGTCTCCTTCAGACAGCACTTGAAAAAGGTTCAATCAATCAGTCAAGCCAGAACAGAACTTGTTTCTAGATGGAAAAACAAGAGAGAAAAGGTGTGAAACTGTAGTGCACCTCCTCCTCCTCCTCACATTTCCTGCTAAAGTGAGTAATTTCAGATTTTACAAGGGCATGTTGTTTGGAGCTGGAAGAAAACGTTTGGTAAAAGGTAGTTTGTTCTGAGGCAGCAAACTACTGCAAAAAAAACCCCAGAGCATTTCAATTTTCCATCCCCACTGCCGGGCAGAGACATGGGAATATACCTTTGCATCGTGGCTGGTATGTACCTGAAAGAGCTGAGAAAGAATATCTGCTCCTTCAGAGACATTAGGGAACATTATTTGCAATAACATTGTTCCACTGGGGTGATTTATTATTATTTATTTTAAGGAAAGGCACGGTTAGAATTACCCATTTTTTTTTCCACAGCCCTAGTCTTTGGACCAAGTTTATATCAGGAGGCTGAAAATGAAAGGGGCAAATCTTGCAAATTATGAGGCATCACAGAGATGGGGTGAGAGCACCATGGGGACATACCCTCCGAGGCTACTTTACCTCAAGCGAGTGCTTAGATTTCCAGGCTCGGAGCACATTCACTTGGCAGGGGAGGCTGGAAAAAGCAGTAGCCTTTTCTCAGCTTTGGGCTGTAAATATAAATGAAACTAGCTAGGGGAATCATGTTCACTACGGTACACATGCAATGTGCATGCAGTGTGTGCAGGTCCCGCACTGGCATCTGCAAAGAGGACAATTAGCTGCTTGTGTGAAATTAGGCATGGACTTGGATAACGGTTTTTAAGATAAGAGAAAAGCCATTTGCTGGCTGATGGGCTCTGGAGTCTGCAGCGATAGGCCTGAGCCTTGCAACACGGGGAGATCTGCCAGGGAACCAGTGGAAGGACAGGTACCTCCAGGGTGAGGTCTCCCGGCCGTGCACAGCTCGGCACCAGGACCTTCCCCACAGCAAAACCCACTGGTAGAGTGGAAGAAGCGATGCCATAACCAACATGCGCTTGGAACCATCCCTGGGGGCATCTGGCAGGGGCAAGAGGGACATCCTAGCTCCCCAAGTGACTGTCCCTCTGCCCTTGGTGCCTCTATCTGGCACGCTGATCGTCTTTTGCCTTTCACCTCCTGCCAAGTTTAATTATAGCTAAATAACACCCCCCAAAGCTGCTTGCTGTGACCCAGAACCAGCGATCCAGCCCCATGCGGCAGGACCCAACTGCAAAAATATCTCATGCTGGCTCCTGTCACAGAGAGCAGACATAGCTAAATCTGGTCCGGTCCAACCCACCTCGCCAGCACCCATGTGCAAGCAAGCCTGGAGACAGAGACAGTACTGGTAAGCTGCAAGTAAAAAAACCCATAAATAGAGCCTTTTTTGGTGCCTTTCAATGGCCTGTAGTGCCTTTTTTGGCCAAGGGTGAGATACTAGTTGGAAACACTCCGCTTTTCTAACAAACGCAGCAAAAAGCAAGCTTGGTATAGCTTGTTATACCAATATTATAAGTTAGTATTATATATTAACCACCTAAAGTCTGCCAATTTTCAACACAACAGTTGTATATGGCCCTACATAAAAATCCTTTCCAAAAACACATACCTACACATTAAAAATGGTCTCATTTAAAGCTAAGGAAAGCTGTTTTACAGATTGCTGTGCAATGTAGTATATTGAATGCTGTCTCAAAAAGAAGATAGAGTCATTCTTCTTCTTTAGGCTTGAGGCAGGATATTTCTAAGGGCTTTGAGTGATGAGCTCTGGGCATTTCTGCTGGGAGGGTTACTGCTCCTGCTATCCCCTTCCCATCGGACGAGCTGTCTCTGGTCCTCACTTGCTGCAGGTTGTTATGCATGTGGACGAGAAGAATTGCAAGCTGATGCTACAAGAGCAGTGACCTGCAGCAGAAGGGGATGTAACAGATGGAGCAAATACCCTCTTCAACACACCCCTAGAATATGTTGTCCAAGCCCAAAATCTAGATCTCTTGTCTCTTATGCCACCTTATCGCTAGCTGAAAAAGCCCAGGAGGAGGGAGGAAAGCGGGCTGTGCACAGAAGTAGTGGAGCACAGTCCTAAAGGGCAGGAGGGAAGAACTGCCTGTTACTACATCTGGTAATGAGTTTGTCTGCACATTGAGAGTACAAGTTGAAATCCCCACAAAAAGAAACACAGCTATTGCTGATTTGAAGCATATAATTTCAGAGGAGTGTTGTAGGAGCAGAAAACACGTGGGCATACAGAAAGAGGAAAAGACAAATTATTCTTCGTAGAAGGCAGCTGTGCTGGAATTCGCCTACAGCATTCTCCATCCTGGAGCTTCGCTTCTGCTCCCAGGAGCCCTGGAAGAGGTCACTGAAACCGCAAGAGTCAAAACCAGAAAGAGTGGGAAAATAAGCTCTCAAAATGAGCACAATGCATTGAATCACTACTCTCATCTTCCTCCTCCCAGCAAGCATGAGGAACAGGCTATGTCCTGGAAGCAGGTCTGTACAGGTGGCAGATCCCAGAGCTCGGTGGCAGCTGGACCACGGGACCCCGTGTGCTCTGATCCCACAAAACAGATCCCACGCTGTGCTGTACATGCACACACAGTCCCGGCGACTCCAGCTCACCTCAGCCTACAGTGTGGGTTGCTTTTTTTTTTTTTTTTTTAAAACTCAGACATTCCTATTAGAAGCCTCAGCCTACGCCAAAGAATTAGAGATAACTGTTACCTGCAGAAATTGGAAGGAAAAATACTAATCTTAAATATTGCTTAAATAAAACCTGCAAAACTGAGGATCTGGGAATCCAGTCTTTTACCTGAAAATGCCGCAAAATATTTGAATGAGAGGAGCTCGGAGTTTTGCTCCCGGTACTAACTGATGGGCAGGCACTGGCACAGCCAGCGATCGCCTCTCCCCAGGCACGCGGCCCGGCGACATATTGCAGAAGTGGCCCACACAGCCTGCTCAGGAGGAGGCGTCCCTGATTGACGGTTGTCTCGAAGACAAATGCCTTCGCACCGCTCTGGGATAATGGCAGCAAGCTTCCCTGGCAGCTGGGCGAGGGAGGAGGCACGCTGCGAGATGGGGAGGGAGCGGGGAGCCCTCTGGGTGTGCAGGTGAAGGCAGGCGCTGCCAAAAAAAACTGCACCAGCTTCATTAGCTCGTGCAGCTCCTCTGACATGGCCTCAAAACCCCATAGAGAAGAGGGGACCAAGCTGAACTGTGACCAGGCAGGTTTTGTCCAGAAAGCTGGGCAAGGCTGGGGCGTGCACGAAGGGAAAGTGCCAGCGAAGCAGCGTGAACAAGCCCGTACCCCTTGGTGTGGCAGCAGTTTCATACTGGCAGGGCTTTTTTCAGTGATGCCAGCATTACTTTGCCATTCAGTCCCTCCTTGTCTGCAGTTTCCAAACTTTAGAGACCTACACATGATGGTTACTTGAGTGGGCAAGTATCCTGCCCACACTGACAAGAGAAGGACAAACTGGTGTGAAACTTTTTTCCACCTCCAACTCATTCCCAGCCAGGTTTCAGCGCTTGGCTTGACCCACGCAGCAGGGAAGGCTGCCAGGTTCCAGCCGAAACCCTGGCTGCACGCTTGGAAAGCTGGAGATAATGCACGCTGTGGCAAACAAAAATCAGCAACACATTTTCCCCCACAGGAAATCTTGGAAAGAAAAGCCAGGGAAGCTGGCAATAGAAGTCACCTGAGAACTTCAGCATCACTGCCCATCAGGAAGCGAACGGGCAGCTCCAGTCCTGGAGAAGATACTTTTCCCCTCACTGACTCAAAAGTCAAGGTCTTTGTCATGAGCAAATCTCCCCAAGCCTGAATTCAGAACTGCTGGGCACAAGTCACTCCTTCTGGTTGACATAGAATCATAGAATCATTAAGGCTGGAAGAGACCTCTAAGATCATCAAGTCCAACCGTCAACCCAACACCACCATGCCCACTAAACCATGTCCCTAAGCACCTCATCTACATGTCTTTTAAATACGTCCAGGGATGGTGACTCAACCACATGTGCCTGTCTCTGCAATTTCACTTCTCTCTCCCATGCTATCTCCTGGGGTACACCTAAGCTCCCCTTAAATTTAGGGGGGCAAAATGAATTTTTTTATTTCCTTTAATCTTTCACACTGTGACCACTTCTTTTCAAACCATGTACTATTTTCACAGAATCATATCACAGAATCATAGAATACCAGGTTGGAAGGGACCTCAAGGATCATCTGGTCCAACCTTTCTTGGCAAAAGCACGGTCTAGACAAGATGGCCCAGCACCCTGTCCAGCTGAATCTTAAGTGTCCAATGTTGGGGAACCCACCATTTCCCTGGAGAGATTATTCCAATGGCTGATTGTTCTCATTGTGAAAAATTATCCTCTTGTGTCCAGTCGCAATCTCCCCAGCAGTAACTTGTACCCTTTACCCTTCGTCTTTTCCATGTGACTCCTTGTAAAAAGGGAGTGTCCATCTTCTTTGTAGCCACCCTTTAAATACTGGAACATGGTGATAAGGTCTCCCCAAGTCTTCTTTTCTCAAGGCTGAACAAACCCAGTTCTCTCAGCCTTTCCTCATACGGCAGGCTTCCCAGTCCTTTGATCATCTTTGTGGCCCTTCTCTGGACC